TTGTGTGAAAAAAAATTATAAAAATTTCATATGGGTACAGTGTTGCATGTAATTGTGTCATAATGCAACAGTGCCGAAAGCAGAAAATTGGCTTGTGCAGGAAGGGGGTGAAAGGGCCCGGTACTGACGTGGTTTAATGTATATCTAAAGCCAAAAGACTAGCATTTTTCTGTCTTTGTACTGTTTGGGCATTCTTCATCCATTCTTGATTTGCAAACACAACTGGAATCAAAAGAGAATCTTTCTAAGGCCACCATCACACGAAGCGTCCGATCATGTCCGCCTGCCAGTTTTTCAGGTGGACCTGACCAGACTCTCCATTCACCTCTATGGGCAGGCGGGTGTAAACAGATTTGTGTTCAATTACACTTGCTTACCTCCAAAACAGAAAGGGATCTGCCCCCCTCCATCTAGGCAGAGCAGATCGGTGGACAGTCGGGTGTAAATGGACAGTGGAGTCTGTTTACACCTGCCAGTCCATAAAGCAGAGCGGGCTCTGTCCGTGTCCACTCTACATAAACCCCATGTGAAAGGGGCCTTTCAACTCTAAAATCTGGATTTCCTATCACTGTCCTGGTGACAATGATCACTGTGTCAAATAGAGAAGGAGAGTATTTGCAGCATGGACACAGAAAGCAATTTAAAAAAAAAACCTGACAGGGGTTCTAACCCTTTCCCACTGTTGATGCAAATCAAACCAGACAAAAGTTTTGGCTTGAGATATACTTGAAGACACATTTCAATATGATCAGTCATATATTTACCTTCATGCATTAAAAAAATATATTCATGATACCATGTCTAAAGAGTTACCTTGAAAGCAGAAAGTTTTAAAAACACAATACAGTTATGCTCCTAGCATCAGTGTTCTATTTTAGGATTTCTCTAGTACACCAGTGATTATCCTCCCTTTCTTGAGCAATCTGGTGATCTTGGAACCCTTTTATTGTAATGCAGGGTAGTATTCCCAAACACGCCCACTTCCTCTTCCTTGCTGTTTATCACAAACAGAAGACCTGATGTACCAATTTACAGTGCATTCAATGGAGATGCTGAGTATAGGCAAGTTTAAAAGAACAGACTCAGCCATCTTTTCCCCATCTTCTTCAGGTTCCAGAGCCCTTTTTACTGGCCAAGCAGAGGTGGCATAGCTCAATATCAGATTTTGAGACAGTATACTGTTTTTAAAAATCTGTATTTTCAGAAAAAAAGACACATAACATAAATTTCACTACACAAAAACACAATATAATACCCATTTTTTAGTACAATATAAAAGATGGGGTGGTGTCAAGCATATAGATGGCAGATTTGTTAGACTTTAAAATTTGTATGTGCCTGTGAAATGGCAGAAAAACTAAGATACAATAAATTGTCTATAGGTGACACTTTAAAATCCTATACAGGTTGTCAGTTTAGAGTTCACTGTGAATAATCACCCTAGAATTGCTGCTCTCACAACGATGTTGGTGGTGATACCCAACATGTGTGGTGCAATTGCTATTTACAAAGTTCTACATGTATTTTTGCATTTGTATGTCCGTGTGGGGAGACAAGGTTCCATTTAAATTATTTTATTATAATTCAAATGTTTTATTTTATTTAACTTGTCATGACAATCCCCCTATGTGATAATATTGTTCAGTGACAGGTAATAGAACCATCAGGAGTTTATTTTCTTTCTGACAGCTCAGATATGCTCAGAACTGAGTGCTTACAAGTTTATTGGTTGCAGAGCAGATTGGGAAGAGCCATCCTAAAAGAATTTGCCATGGTTTTGGGCTCCTCAGAGGAGCCAGAAAACCCAGGAACCAGAGTGTGGAGGTACAGTAGGGGAATGGGGAAAGCAGCTTCAGATTCCTGGATACCCGGGAGTCAGCTTAAGAAGACAGTGCAGCCATGAGCTTGTTTTAACCCAGTGTAAGAGTAACTTTGTACAAACAAATGGCAACCACCCCAATCTATAACTGGCTTTTGCAACAAGAAGCACATGGAAGGGTGACACATGTCAAAAAATGTGTGCAAACTAAACCCCTTGTTTTATCATAAACGGTTGGACAGGGTAATTCAATTTGTTGCAGGATGGCTGCTAAGCGAGCTGAGAATTTTTGTTTGTTGTTTTTTTACATGCTTGGGGTTGCCATTTGTTTGTACTGTTGGTGAATTGGTGCATACCTTCACTACCATCATGCTATTGCTGGGTGTCCACTGAGTTACTATACCTTTAAGGGGAGATGGGCTCCCTCCAGGCATACCTGCCTTTAATCTATCCATTATTATATATTTGCTCCAACTTTGGAGACTCTCAAAATTTATAGAGTTGGGACTGCAGATATACTGAGGTGTGCAGCTTACGTATATATTTGAAAATGTGTGGAAACTAAACCCTTTATTTTAATGTGAACTGTTGGACAGGGTAATACTGTTTGTTGCAGGCTGGCTGGTAAGTAAGCTGGTAGTTTTTGTTTATTGTTTTTTGATAAGAATAGCTTAGTGCTTGGCTCATTTCGGCACTCAAACACAAGGCTCTACCCCCTCCCCCCCTTCTCTGCTCCAGTCCTGCGAGAACATGATCCTACTGCTCCCTTCCACCATCTTGTGCCCTGCTCCTTGCCATTGGCCTCCTCACAACATTCCCTGCCATTGACCTTTATATCCCTGAAGAAGGAACGTTTAGTTAGCTTCACTGCACTTTACTGGTGTTGTTCAGGGAATGGCAAGACAGTCACATCACTAGGACATATGTTCTGGAGTCACTTGACATACACAGTCAATGACAGAAAGTGAAAGGTCCACAATAGTTACAAGTGAAAACATGTGCACCACTTCACAGCCATTGTCCTATAGTCTCTCCTTTACTCAGAGTCCTAAGTACTCACAGAACTGTATTCTGTGTAGACACCTGCTAGTTCGGTACACCTCTCCCAGGAACCCTCCAAAGAAGCAGCCTCATAAAGGGATATCCAGCCTGGCCTAAAAGGCCTTTTGCAATCTGCCCAAGCCCTGCCTCTCCTTAAGGGACATAATGACTACAGCCTGCTCCTCCTGCATACAGGTCCATTCCACCCGGCCTCCTGCCATATCCAGGGTCTGCGTGTGTTGGCTACATGCTCACAGGTGTGGGGTGTTTAGCTCCCATGCCCCAAGACTCACTGTATGCCATCCTTACCTAGCTTATATTTGGGTGCTTACTCATCCCTGACTCACTTGTGAGAGGGCTGTCCCTAAAAAGAGGACAACACCTAGTGTCACTTCCTGCTGTACCAAACACCATTCTGGTAAATATCCATCTAGTGGCAAAGTAGCTAACTGCACCTGTCTACACCCTTGATTTCCAAGATGAATAGTTTATGAATGACTTGTGGACATCAAGTCGTTAAAGCATAACTCTGACCAAAGCTTTTTATTTAGGTTTGTAAAGAGTGGTGAAGGCTTACAATTTGGCAATCTTTTTTGTTTTTTCTTTGTCATCCATCTTCCTAGGACAAAGAGATTTCCCCGCACTTCCTCTCTCCAGAAGTATAACAGAAAGTAAGTGAAAATCTCTTCAAAAGGAGTAGAAATCCATCATTTGGCAGTTACCCCCAGATGTCTCTCGCCTTCTCTTCTGCTGACAATTATTTTTAGAAAAATAGCAAGGTTAGATTGCCCCCAACAGGCACAAAGACATCCACAGAAGCATTTTTAATTCTATCTAAAACTAGTTATGGTTACATTTTCTTGCACTTCCCTAACTCTTACGATGGCTACCATGGCAATGCACTTTATCACTATGCATTTTAATGAAAAGATTGTCCATTTAAAAAAAATATATCCTAAAAAGTAAGGGTTTTTGTTTTACATAATCCACATACCAAAAGTTATATTTATAATTTGTTGAAAATTTAACAACAGATGCATGTTTTGTTAAACTTAAATTCTACTTACCACCTACTTATGTGGTTTTTGTATTCATGCTATCACCATCTCATACAGATTTGGGTGTGGGTGTGGGTTTGTGTTACAAGCTGGTTGTTAATTTAAAAATAATTGTTTGATTTTTTTTTTCTTTTCACACTTGCAGCATCTGTTCAGCAATGTAGCTATTTATTGAGAATAATTATATGGTTACTTCAACACAAATAACAACCTTGCAGCCGCCAAGCTGCCTGTAGCACTATATGTACTGTTTATGCCATTACATAAAAAAAGCAGAAGAGATTCATTTTACGACTGAAAATACAGAAATGTTATTAATGAATACAATATTTTTAAGAACTGCTCTAGGGTGGCGAAAGAGAGATGAGGTTTGTAATAGCAGAAGTGAACTTTTACATTCTGGTAGCAAATTAATGACCATAATTAGTCATCTAGAATGCCAATGATAGGTTTTTGTAAATGTTACTTCATTTTCAATTATTGCAAGCATCATTTCAAGAGTAAACTACTAATAGTTTTATATATATGGAAGCCCATTCCGGAATGTCATGAGGCATCCTTTACAATGCAGCCTACTAAAAACATATAACTATGCAATCATGATTGTTATTGTTTGCCTATTTAGCATTCCCTTCATTGATACACTGGCTGAGTTTAGTCATATTAAGGGGGACCAATCAACAATTTTGCACCAAGACACTGAGCAGAGTATGGCTTTGTCTTCAAAAGCTGAGACACATTTACTATAAGCATACAGCAAATGTGTAAATTTGCATTCCACATGGTTTGTAAGGGCAATTAAATAGTTACCATCTGCTTCACACAGGTCTGCAATGTAACCCAAATCAGTCATTTTTTTACACTATCATTTAATCACAAGTTCATTTCTGCATTGGACTGTTTTGGTGCTAAACAGTTACCATTTTGTTCATTCCATAAGACGCACTTTCCTCCCCCCCAAAAAAAATGGGGGAAAATGTCTGTGTGTCTTATAGAGCGAATATGGAGAGGCTGGCACGGTATTCCTGCCGCCGCCGTGTCAAAATACAGGGCCAGCCGCTCGGCAGCAGAACCTTACCTTTTCCTTGGTCCAACGCTGTACTCATGGTCTTCTCTCCTGGTGCCGGCATCTATAGTGGTGCCCACTGCGCATGCGCGAGAAGCGATGCGTTTTGTTATTGGTCCGGCAGTCTTCTGGCACCTGTCACGTGTCCCAGAAGATGGGGAGTGAGGACAACTCCATGGAAGTGGGAGCGGGTCATATTCGGGTACCCCCCTCCCCCCCCTCCCCAAAGGTCCACAGTCTCTGGTCATCCCCTGTTCTGTGTCCGCAGTCTCTGGTCATCTGTAGTATGTCTGCAGTCTCTGGCCATCTCCTGTACTGTGTCCGCAGTCTCTGGTCATCTCCTGTACTGTGTCTGCAGTCTCTGGCCATCCCCTGTACTGTGTTCGCAGTCTCTGGTCATCTCCGGTACTGTGTCCGCAGTCTCTGGTCATCTCCTGTACTGTGTCCGCAGTCTCTGGTCATCTCCTGTACTGTGTTCGCAGTCTCTGGTCATCTCCTGCAGTATGTCCGCAGTCTCTGGTTATCTCCTATAGTATGTCCGCAGTTTCTGGTCTGGTCATCTCCTATAGTATGTTCGCAGTCTCTGGTCATTTCCTGTAGTATGTCCGCAGTCTCTGGTCATCTCCTGTATTATGTCCGCAGTCTCTGGTAATTTCCTGTACTATGTCTGCAGTCCATTGGTTCAGAATATTTTTTTTCTTGTTTTCCTCTAAAACCTAGGTTTTATGGAGTGAAAAATACGGTAATTAGAAACATTTAGCATTCAGAGCACCATTAGGGCATGAGTTGGAAATCCACCTCGTCAGCAAGATGTACCTACCAATACACAATTCCTCATTACAATCCCCGCTCCATCAACATCCTTACTCTGGGGCTTTTTTCTTTTTAATTTTTAATTGCTGACAACTTTTTTTACATTCAGCTGTCAGCAGGGAACCCTGCTTACAGTGGAAGACTCATCGTTTGTGAAGGATGTGGCGGCCACCTCCTTACCATCCAGTACATACCACATACTTCAACCACTACTTAATTACTGCATGCACTTAATTATTTATTCCCTTCTGTGAATTGACTTTAATGTCTTTTTATGCGGTATTTACTGAGTGTTTTTGCTATTTGTGGTAAATACCGCATACTAACAATAGTGAATTGACGTGAATTCACCTTTAGTGAATTGTCCCCACTGACACTTTATGCTGAATGGGACTTGTTTTTTTAAGTTCTAGTTAGCTTTCAGTATAGGGGATTTATTTTAAAGGTTATATTGTGTTACAGGAAGGATAAGGCTAAGTGTTGTAAAAGGGTCATATGTTAGGAGGCTAAATCTTGAGGTTAAATTGTAGAAGTCGAATTAAGGGTTATGTGTTAGGGTTAGATTAAGTTAAAGGTTAACTTTCATGTTTGGGTTAGGCTATTAGAAGGTAGGTTTTGTGTTTAGGGCTAGTTGTAGTGTTAGGTTAAGGTATAAAGTTGGAGAGCTACGGTTAAGTATAAGGGTGAGGTTACAGCTTATGGATAGCTTAGAGGTTAGGCGCATGGGTGCTGAAAGTGCAAACCTCATTTAGGCTAAAATTTAACATACTAACATATACAGTACCTGTCTGTAGAGCCTTATTGCCCAATGGGAAACTGGAAGATTATCCCTGTGTCTGCACTGCAACGGTTAACTGCTCATTTAGGTCTAGGGGACATAGAAAAAAAGGTCTACTTACCTGATCTTCTACTCTATCGTGCTGTTAGACAGGTTTATGCAGCAACTTCTTTCTTATGCTACAGTCATCTAAAGTGCTGACTTTATCAAGACCGGTGCAGGAACCACATTGGATGCAATGACACAGAAGAACAATTCACCACCAGAGCATGGGGGAGGACCATCTAGAAGAAGAGTGGAGGTTCAAGTAAGTAAACGTGCTTTGCTCTCTCCTAGAATAAAGGTGCAGTTAACCCTTGCAGTGCAGACACAGCCCCACTGAAAAAGAGAATTTTCAAATTTCCAAGAGTTGGGCTTCATAGTATACCTGTCATGATTCCATATATGCTAAACTGCAGCTATAAATATGTGGTTTGTGGCCTGGCAACAAAGAGGACCCTGCGTCAAAATGTGTCCATACTTCATTTCCACACATACAGACATACATACACACACCTATATCTGTAAGGGTTGAGATGCATACTATATTTTGCACATGCATTGTTGACATTTATTTCTCACCCTGAAAAAACCCTTAAAGTGGTGGCAGTGCAAAATTACCTTCATTCAATCTGAAAAACTGAAGATCAAGGTCCTGTCTGTGCCTGTGCTGCCAGGTCAAAAATGTAAACAAACAATGTGTAGTCAGCAGCAGTGGTATATGGTCTATGTATACTGTATTCATGTAAACGTTTGCACAAATCTTCACATGTGTACAGTGTAAATATTGATAAAATAGGATCATGGATGCTGAATTTTCTTGTTTTAGTTTATGCAGCTAAAACACTGAGAACCAAAATAGAGCTGTGTGAACAGACTCATAGCATACAATACTGCTGTATTCACATCCTTAAACGTTATAGATCTGAATGCAGCATTTGGTATGCCTGTGTGCATGAGAGTTAATGGGGGGGGGGGGCAAGTGACAATTTTCTAGCAAAACAGAGCTGTTTAGCATCTTGGGACTCGTTTAGGGCAAACCAATGGTTAAGAATGCAGCAAAAATTAAGCTACGTTTTGCATTCAAGAGCAGATTAAATTAATATAAAAATTGCTTTTTAGTTTTTAAATTTATGTGCCGTTGTCAAATAATCAGTCGACCTGGCCAGGGCACGACATTATTCAAAATTGGCTGCTCCAAGAGGGATTTTATATTACTTTATAATATAATCTCTACAAATTGACAGACTTGGCCAAAGCATATTACTTAAGTTAACAGAGCACTACATATCCGTGTACCATTTTAAGAAGAACTGTCAATTAACACACACTGTAATCCTGACAGCTTCATGTGGAGCACCTGCTATCTATGAGAAATCAAAGATTAAAGAACAGCTCTCAGCAAAATTTTAAATCATATCTGAATGGAATATTACACAAGACACATATTCATTATGCAATAAATTATTCACAAAAGTTTTATTTTCATGTTAATAAAATAAAGAATTTCAGTTAACATATTGGTTGTTAAAAACAACAAAAATTTCTAACTGAATTTGATGTCTCTTTCTTTAACCACTTGAGTACTAGCCTTTAAATACCCCTTTTTTTTTGTAAGTGTTTACTAAACACTGTTTCTCTTACATTTCACATGAGACATGCCAAGTAAAAAATGCCAGGACAGTACAAACACTCCCCAAATTACCTCTTTTTGTTGAGTAGCCACCCCAAGGTAATCACAATTTTTTTGAATATGAAGAAACATGCTTGTGTTGAGGTTGTTAAAACATAGAGCTTGGTAATTGTCCACTAGATACAGTACATCATTAATGCACAGGTAACACACTCATGAATGAGTAAGGTTTAATGTACAGGTCACATACGGTATGAGAATTTAGACAAGGGGGCTAATGTGAGGGATAAGGGACATGAAGGTGTTAAAATACAGGTACTAAAGAGACAGGATCGAGATGAGGTATGCAGTTAAAAAAATTATCTCACATAAAATAATTCAAATTATCTGCTGCCTACTCTTCATTTATTAATTATTTCTATCGAGACCTGACTTTGAACCTAGGACTTCTGTTGCATCTAGCAGTAGCTCTTCTTACTATGCCACCTGAGATGCTGGACAACACCTTGCATGTACCTCATCCCTGGAAAACTTTACTTACTATCCTGTTTCTGGTGAACCTTGAACTCCCTCCTCCTCCCATGAACTCCCTATTTAAGCCATGCCTTTGCACTTACTGTTTGCCAGATTATTGTACTCTTCTCCAGCCTTAACTTGCTCCTTGTGCTCTTGTTGCTGTCCTTATTTTTTATTACCACTAGTTACCAACTTTTGGCTTATTCCTTGACTTTGCTTCTGCTTGATCCTAACCTGCAACACTTGTTACCAACCTATGGCTTGTTCATTGATTACATTTTTGCTTGGTCCCTATCTGCTACTGGACACACCATGCTCACCTCTTGGTGGAATGATCCTGAGGACAGCGACCTGGTACTAGCATGCAGCACAACCCATCTCAAGCATCAGGAGCCTTGGAGAAGACTGGTTAGTGTGTAGACCCTGTGCCTCCTTCACAGAATTATACAGTCCTTACTCTATGAATATACATAGAGTAGTGAGGGTTAGAAATACTGGCAGGATTTTTTTTGCTCACAAAGTAAAAAGGCCAGCACTCCATAAAGACCCTCAGTTGTTTATTGTGAGCTTCACAAAACTAGTGACAAAGAAAGAGTGACAAAACAGATTTTTTTTTACTTTTCTGTAAAATCTGTTTCTTGGAGTGCATTTCAGGACACATGTGGGCTGGCGGATGTTGACTGCTGCAAGTGACTGTAAGCCCACCAGGTTCTTCTGGGCTACCTAGGCGCTGTGGCACAGGCATGGCATTCCTTCAGAGTGCATGCACCGATGCTCCTTTCCAAGTAAATATCTCCTAAATGGTGCATGTTTAGGAGATATTTACAGTACCTTCAGGTAAGCCTGTAGGGGATGGTATCAACAGAGGGGATCACAGGTTCTTGGATATGCTTCAACAAGGTAATAGTTTCAAAAACCTCTTCGGAATTGGTGTCAGCAAAATAGCTTACAGATTAGGCTGTAAATGGGAGCCTTTAGAATTCTTTGGCTGCCATGGAAGCCTTTTTCAGCGCTTTCTCCCAAAATATCATGTCAGTCTTTTGGGTGCTCTTATCTCCCTTCTCTCCCTAAACTTCTCCTGAGGGGAGACATTTTCTGCTTCTTCTATAAAATCATCCTCCTTTGGGTTCAGAAGTGCAGCAGCCTCTTCGTTTCCAGACCCTGTCTGAGAACCCCTGGGAGAATCAATTTAAGGTTCAGGAAGCAGGAAGTTTTCAATATTGAAACCTGGTGAAGAGGTAGACTCATCAGGTTCTGTAGGGATTATTTAAGCAGAAAAGGGAATCTCTTACTAGAAACTTGTCAAAAGGGCACTTGAATGTGAGGCAGGGGTGGGTGCCAGAAGGCTGTCTTTTATAGCAGTTAGGAGTGGTCACCAGTCTATTGCTACTTCTACCCCCTCTTCCTCTTCTGGAGCCCTCAACTCTCTGACAACTCTTTGATAAACTTGTCGGAGTTGTAGGTGGGTGCTTTCTATGGGCACCTGTTCTGCTCGGCCAATGGAGTAAGGAGTCTGCGTATTAAGTTGGTGTTGGTCCCAATCAGTAGTGAACACTGCTTTATCCCCGCAGCTCTGGGGCAAATGATTGCTAGAGTATCGAAAGTCTCTGCTCTTCCTGTCAAAGTGGGCCTAAAGGCTAAATGAAAAGGCATGTAACCATCATATGGGCACTTCTGATTCTCAATTCCCCAAATTGCTCATTTAACTTCTGTATGGGGATGTACTTCAAGTGTTTGTCATAAAAGTCCCTATACAGTAGGGTCACCTGGGCCCCGATATAAAGCAAAGCTTTAGTCTCTGAGGTTGAGGCTTGGCACTTCTGATGTAAGCTTTCTTAAGTTTAGTTGCTCGCTGCCAGAGGATTGGCTTTCCCAATTTCTCAGAGTGATGTGTAT